TACAATACATAGGGAAGAATAATGCTGGGAGAGAAACTTGCTGCAGTTTTTCTCCATTTCAGAGTCCTCTTCCTGCAACAGGCCAAACCAATGGCAATGCGTGATAGAGTATGAAATACGTGTTCCTGGCAGGAAGGGACACCTCCTACAGGGAGCAAAAAACAATATCTGAAATTGAAACTGCTACTTACGTGGGACATGCTCTTTGTGCTGTACACATACAAAATAACCAGTCAGAGCCAGTCAAGAAAAAAATGGGAAAAAAAGGAAAAAAATAAAATCGAGCAAAAATAAAAGAGAAGAAATAAAACAATGATAAGATAAACTAAAAAGATAAACTCTCACAGACAGAGGGAATCAACTGAAGTATTAGAAAACCTGAAAATTAAAGATGAACCAAAAAAGGAAAATGAGATTAGACGGGGAAGGAAGTCTAGTAAGACCATAAAGTTCTGAGAGAACAACAAAGAGACTAACTGTAAAAAGAATGAGAAACAGGATGTTATGCATCAAAGACTTGACCAAAGCTGTAAAACTAGATATAAATTAAAATTATATGTGTGTTCAGTTTCTGGTGTCAACACACTCTTTTTCGGGGGAGGGGGGCGAAGTAGGGAGAGGGTGCTACATTGTGCCTATGATGACAGTAGTATAAGAGACAGAGAGAGCAACTATCATTAACTCTGAAAACACTAGTCCTAACATATTCTTTAGGATGGCTTTTGATTCCAACTTTACTGGTATAATGAAATTTGAAGGACATTTTCAGTAAAGAAATATGTGTCAGAAAAAAAAAGTGAGATGTAACAACACTGATTTTTTTGCACTCTTCAGAGTTGTTCTATTCAGTTGGACCACTAACAACTGGAATTATTGGTTGAATTAGAAATGTATATTCTTAATATTTCTTTCAATTGCTTTAAAAAATGATTCTGAAATTATTTTGGCTTAATTCTTGCCTGGCTTTGATCTCCATATAGTCTCACTCAGGACAATTCATCTGAATACAGACAGTGGCCTATAAGTTAAATATAAGCTTAGCTTTAGTTTTTTCATCGGACTAGCTACTTAAATTTCCATAGCATTTTGGGTGTATCTTGTATTCTGCATAAGTTCCTCTCTATTTTACTACTTTATTGGGGTATTTATTATGTGGACTTTATGGACAATATGCTGACCCAATATTACATCTCCTTTTTTATTCTTTTTTTTTTTCCTGTTTGATTTTATGCTGTCCATAAAGGATCAGTTGAAAACATAGTAAGGCAGAGATAACTTTCCATAAATAAGAAATTCCAGTTGTTTAGATCTCAGAGTGACCATCTGTTACTTAATTATTTTTTCCTGAGTTAAAAGATTCTGTGTATACCTATACATTAATTATAAGTTCTGACATTCAGAATATTTCCTTAAAAAATTGTCAACGGGAAAGCAAATGCCAAGTAACCCACATAGTAATAAGGATCTATAGATTAAAACAGCTACTTTAGAATTTGCTTCTCTCCTTTTATATTCCTGCCTTGTTCACATATCTAAAACATCAATCAAAGAAAAAAATGGAACATTAGAATTAAAACTTACAGTAAAACCTGGTTTTATTAACAACAGTAAAGAACAAAATCAGTGGAAATGAAAAGGTCGATCATTTCAAAATGGTAATTTACAAGTTTTCACTATTTTCTGAAAAGCTAAGTCAACGCTCAAATGCACAAACCACAACATGAAATAACTCAGTAGAAACACAGCTTAATCCTATGTCCTTTTTATTCTTCTCTCTGATAGCTGTTCTAGAACTAAGCAAGGGAGTACTGATATGCTTACTTTATATAGATAACACTTAAAAAGTACTCCAAATCCTCAGCAATCCAACATAAGATTAGAATATTGTAACTTTATTAGACTGCMTAAGATAAAAAACTATTTTAAAAGCAAAAACTTAATAAAAAAATACAATGTCAAGCTTTCTTAAACTGTTAATACATTTTACATGTGTAAAAATAACATTTCAATAAAAATGTAATTGGTATATAGTTGCTGTGGCACTGGAAAATATGTGAAAGTGATTTTTTGCTATTCCAAAATATAAAGTTGAAACTGATTTTAAAAAATCTTCAACAATGGCAGTTATGTTACAAGTTTTACAAGTCTGGAGAAATGCAAAATCAGTGTAAGTATATTGTTACCTGTTGGTTTTATATTATCAGGATTACGTTTAAGAAATAGTATTGGCTCCATTTTACTTTTAAGCTAGTGAGGTATTTTTAGGAAGGTCTAAATGCTCTTTYAGCATTTGCCATGTTTGGTTGCGTATATCTATCACTTCGTTGCAATATGGTGACACGCTCAATACTTTAATGACCAGTAGTAGCAAATCTCAATTTTTATCTGTAAATTAGATATCTTAAGTATGTACTTTTCTTCCAAGCATGTGAATATTATAATCTCGACCAGTTGTGCAGAATGAAGACATTACAGAATCACAGAAGGGTTGAAGTTAGCAGGCACCGCTGGAGATCATCTAGTCCAGCCCCCTGCTCCAGCAGGGACACCCAGATCATGGSGCACAGGGCGGCATCCAGGTGGGTTTGGAAGATCTCCAGAGAAGGAGACTCCACAACCTCCCTGGGCAGCCTGTGCCAGGGCTCTGTCACCCTCACAGTAAAGAAGTTCTTCCTCACCTGGAGATGGAACTGCCTGTGTTTCAACTTACGTCCATTACCTCTTGTCCTGTCACTGGCCAYCACTGAGAAGAGCTTGGCTCCTTCCTCCCTACATTTTGCATGATCATAAAAAATATAACACAGAATCAGGTCAGACTACTGAAACAGTAAATTCTGCTTAAATCTGCATAGAAAATAAGAACACTCCAAATAGCAAAGTTTTGGAGATACAGTAACTTAAATAAGACATTATTTAATGGGAGTTAAAGGATGCTCACTGTTCTGTTCTTAAGTGCTCTAYACAGGTTTTGAACTCAACTAATTTATACAGAGCTTTGACAGAGCTGTCATGTAAGTCTTGAGCTGACACGGGTTTCTGGGAATGTGTTAACTTACACTTGTATGAAAAAAACGGTCGTCCAATTTATGCACATCTCAAATTTAAAATGAAGTGGCAATAAGTATATTTCACATCAAGATGCAAAGGTTATAACTTATTACAAAAGAAAATATGCACCTTACTTCTGGCTTGATGATGGATGACATGACTTAAATTAGATTTGCAGGACTGTGTATGTTTGAGAGTAGAATTTCCTACAAAGCCTGAACACGGGGGCTTCTACTTTTCAGCTTTGAGAGAATGACCTTCCCATCCCAAACTGACATGTCCATCTGCTGCAAATTAAAGGAAAATGGAATCAGCTCAGCATAACATTAATTTGGGAGGGAAAGGAGACAAACAACATCAACAAAGTTTCCTCGAAATTAAATAAGCATAAAGTGGCATAACTTGATTCTGGAGTGAATACTGGTATGATTAAGTCTACTTAGTCTAACAGGTAACGAGTGCTGGTCACATGAGAACACCAAGTGTGTAATGGCATGAGAAGGAATGAAAAGTAACAACAGTCTATTTATGCAACAGGTGGGGAATTACACTTATTACCTCAACCCAAAAAGCTGTTAATGAAAAAGTGTTTAACAGTCAGGCCTAACAGATGTGATTTATTTCATGAGAACACAGCTTGTTTCAAGGTGATTGTTTTTTTCTTCTCCCTTCTATTTGTCTTGTGATGGAGCGCACCAGTTCATGCTTGTGTGACTCACATTTCTCAGCCTAGTTAGCAAAAGTGGGGAATTATTTTTTTGTCTTAGTCCTGCAGAAGCTGCCAGTTACTCCCACCTGAGATGCTGCTCTCCACTGTGCCCTTAGCTGCTCCTTATKAGCTGCTCCTTCCTCCCCTCTTTCCCTCCCCAACTAGGTAATACTCATCGCTGGCCTCTTACCAGCTACATTTTTATGTAGCTCATTTCTCGACGTTTTTTATTTAGAAACCCCTACTCTGCCAGTACTCAAACTCTGGCTAAAACTCAAAACCTTACGTCTCGGCTCTATTTTTGCAAATCTCTCAACACCAAAACCACTYCAGTTTAAAATTATCACTGTGAACGCTACCGGGTTACTTATACTGATGTTTCTGTCACTGTAGCTTCACTTTTTGGTCTGCAGGTTTCCACGCCCAGCTGGCTGAAGTCCCTGAACACCGAACGCCTGTGGCCGGGTGCAGTGAACCTTGCTCATTCCACAAGTGTGAATGCCACCAGTTTTCTGACCCTCACCCCCTCGCCTCCAGCCGTTCTCACTCTCTTCCTCGAAGGGAGGACAAAAAAAAAAAAAAAAAAAAAAAAAAAAAAAAACCAGCATTTTTTCAAGTTTTCTCGTTTTTCAGAGTAGCTTTTTTTTTTTTTTTTTTTGCCTTCCTCTAAGAGGTCTTACAACAAGCTGCGTGAGCCCCTCCGGCCTCCTGCCGGCGCTGGAGGGTCCCCGCCGCCGTCCCGCTCCTCGCGGGCTCCGTGTCCTCCCGGCCGCCCCCTCCATGTCCCGGCCTGCTCCCGGTCCCCTCCCCCTCCCCCCGGGCTGCCCCGCTGCAACGGCGGCTGCTGGGGGAGAGGAGGGATCGTGCCTCGCTCCCAGCGCCGCAAAGAGGATCCCACCCTCCCTAGGCAACTGCTGACGAAGGCCGCGAACGCCGCGCTCCCATTGGCCCAGGCRCTGGCCAAGCGCGGCCAATCACGAGGCGAAGCGATGCTGCTCCTCCATCCCTATTAGCCGGAGGGGGAGGGAGAGCGCTACGCGCGCCGCGGGGTCACGTGGCCTCTGTTTACATCCTCTCAGCTGTTGGGCCCCTCCTCCCCTCGCGGCGCTCGCGTCAACACAAACAGCGGCGCGCGGGGCAGCGCCGAGGCCGCGGCGGCTCCGGGGGCTCCTCCGCGGCGGCGGCCGCCTGCCCTGCTCCTCCTCTCCCTCCCTCCCTGCCCGCCGCCTCCGGGCGCCGTCGCTCCGCGTAGGCGGCCGAGCCGCCCTTCCGCCTACACCCCCCGGGCAGGGGGTCGCGGTGAGTGCCCCGCGCGCGGGCCGTTACGGGCGGCCGTTGGAGCTGGGGGCTTGGCCAACGGGCGTCGGTAGCGTCCGCGGCCGGAGCGGGGCCTCGTGGGGCCGTTTCCCAGCGGCCCGGACAAGGCGAGCGCCGGCGGCCGCCTCTGGCTCCCCCTGCGGGGCTGAGGAAGCCCGGGGTGAGGGGGAGGCGGCCCCTGCTGCTCTCTGACCGGCCTCCTCTCTCGTCCTCTCGCTGCCTGCGCCGTGACTCGTCCCCGGCCCCGGTGAGGGGGTCCGCGGGGCCGCGCCGGTGTGAGGGAACGGGGGGCTAGTGGGGGGCTCCGGGCTGGGGACGCGGGCGGGAGTGCGGCCGAGGGGCAGGGCCCGGCGGCGCTGCCTGCTCCGCGCCGCGGTGTTGACTCGGGGGACGGGGAGCGAGGGCGGCAGCGCGCCCCGCTCCGCAGTAACGCGGGGTCCGGTGCGTGTGGTGGGGGCAGGCTCGGCGCGCCCCAAGTCGAAGCGTTGCGGAGCGTTTGCGAAACGACGTTTAGTTTCCAAAAAAAAAAAAAAAAAAAAAAAAAAAAAAAAAAAAAAAAAAAAAACAACCCCCCAAAAAAAACAAGGAAGCGAGCTGCGGTGCGGGGAAGGCTGTTCCTTTCCCCCAGGCGCAGCCGAGGGGCGGGCGGCACTTTGTTGACATGCAGCGAGTGCGCGGGGCCGCGGGCCGCGGCCGCCTCCGCGCGGGCCTGCGCGCACGTTCCCCTCTGTTTACACCGCGGCCTCCGCTCCGGCCCGAGCGCGCGGGGGAGGAGCAGGAAGCAGCGCCGGGGCCGCCGCCGCCTCCCGCCCGCTTCCTTTGTTGTCCTGCGGCCCGGGGGCGGCCACCGGGTCCCCCCCCGCCTCGCCGCGCAGCCCGAGCGAGGGGGAAGGAGCAGAGGCGCCTGTGGGAGGCGCAGCCCGCGGCCTGGGCCTGGCTCGGGCAGCTCTGCCGTCACCCGCGGCCGGAGCGAAACGGGAGGGAAACAAGACAAAAAAAAACCCAAACCAGCCTGTGATAGGGAGAGAAGATTCCTTCAGTTTGGTGGTGAAAGGCAAAGGGAAACATAATCTAAGTGAGAACAGAGGTTGAGCTGCTGCAGCGTGCACAGAAAGTGTGGTTACCTTGCAGGGCTTTTCTGACCGCTGTTCYCTTCCAGCGGGTGGTCTGTATCCCTGCCAGGCTTTTACTCGGTCAAGGCCGGCCGAATTGCAAACTTAAGCAGAGAGGTTAGGTTTCCTCTGATAAAGAGCAGTAAACTGCGAGTGAGACGCAGAAGTCCCAGATAAGGGTAGTCGGCACTTTAATGAATTAATGAGGATACTCAATCCCCCTTGACCCTCTTCCGTATTAAAGGGAGTGCTTTTAAGGTATGAAAATCTAGAGGTAATAAATATCAGAACTGAGTGCCTTTGTAACTGTAATTCACTCTAAATGAATCGTAATGTATAATACATTTTTTTTTCACAGGACTCTTTCTTACTCTGAGTACTGGACGGCCCCTCTCAGGAGTGAATCGGGCTTGGGTAAATGGAGCTGTTCTCTCTAGGACTCCTAGCTGATTTGTTGGAGAAAAAAAAATGAAAAAGAAAAATTTAAATGTGTAGGTGGACAAAGTGTGTGAAAAGTCCAAAGCAGTATCTTAACTAACTTTGAAAGAATAAATAAAACATAATTATATTAATGTAAGAAGTACATGACTGAGGTCAGAGGATCACAATGAAGGCTTTGGAGCTGGCTTCTTAGCCAGATGTTCTTGGCAATGGTCAGAGCCCCACAGAAGTGCAGGGGAGAACAATTGGGTGTTGTTGGGAGGTCTGCAGTGAGGAAGATGTCACGAAACTGCAGCAACAGAAAAGGTTATGTAATATTAAATTTATGTCCCAAACAACTGAATTTTATCTCTAGGTCTCCACTGGGTTAGGTTACTTGCTGCATAGCCTCATGTCTTCAYTCTAGAATCCTTGTAAAAATCTTTCAGTCTCTGTTAAATGGTTTTACCTGTGGATTTTTCATCCGAGTCATTTCTTTTGTCATTCCTCATAGATATTTCGCCATCTACTTTGGACTTTGTACTACTTGTTCTATTAATTTATGAAGCCCTGTCATTTTTACACTACTGATTTTGTCATATTGGCAGTTTTTACTGTTTTGTCTTCTCTTTTTCTTCCATTGTCTGCACCAAACCCAACAAATCTTTTAGAAAAGGCTTTGGCCTAATAAAAGACTAAGAATAGAAAGCAACTGCCCAACTTGTATCATAGTTTTCTGTTCCTGTGCTGGACCACAGCAGAGACTACAGTTGTTTGGCTATGTTTTAGTAATCTAGAAGTGCAGCTGGTTTGGGATTATAGGTGTGTGTTCTGAAGCTGCAGGTACGTTCAGRTGTGATGTCAGTCTCAAGAGAATAGGCTTTCTGTGACTTGCCCTAGGCAAATGTGAAAGAACAAGACAATGACTGCTGAATTTCAAATTTCTACTTTGGAGCGTAGTTAGCAACAGAATATTTTCCTCCCTTTCAGAAGTGTTTCTGTAGCTTAATACAGATAGTATTTTTTTCAAAGAATTTTTCCAGTAAGTTTTATATTGATAATGTAAGATTTCCTCAAAACAACACATTAAAAGTAATTTGGAAATCGGTATCTACTATGGGAATGTGCATCTCAGTTTTTCAATGCATATCAAGAAATAACTAAAAAATGTAGTCATTGGCCTGTATTATTTCAGGATGAACGTCTTTATTCTGACCTGTTCTCTTCAGTTCCTACATGGTTTGCATTTTCAGTGAGTAATACCACAGAAAAATGTTTTGTTCTGAACTATAGGTGCTTCTCTGAAGCTAGTCATTAATTAGCTCTCAGTTTAAGAAAGTCCCTTGGAATCTACAGATTTGGAATAATCCTTCCTGCAAGCATCATTGATAATTACATCATCAGATTATTTTACCTACTTGGAATGTAAAATTCTCAGTGCAAAGGCTCCCATCTTGTTTTGTAAATGAATAATCAGGTATGTGACTAGCCCAAAGGCACTTCATGCATCTTCTGGCAGGTTTAGAAGTTAATCTGTGTGCTTCATCTTCACTAACCTTGTGAAGTGTACTTTGTGAAGTAGTGACTCAAAACACAGGAAACAAGGACATATTTCTGTGCTTGTTTGTGCTGTTTGCTTTAGTTTTATTGACTGCTCTTAGAACAGGGCTGTGTGATGTCATTTTGCTTTCAGTTCACATTTAAATAAATGTCTAGAAAAGCACTGATGAAATAGCATGAATGTGAAGGTTTTTTGAAGGAACTTTTTAATATATCTACTTCACAGAAGCATGCTAACACTTTTTTATTTCCTTTTCTCTTAGAGTTCTAGGGAGTGAAGTAGTTGGTATAAAATGTGGGTCTAATTACATTAAAATATGAGGAAACAGCTGCTGTGCTCCATTTCCTGTGAGGCTTATTTGTGTACGGGATGTTAATGAGAGTCTTCAGGCCTGCTGAACACAGGTTCTTAGCAGTTGCTTACGTTTTGCTGTGTTAAGAAAATYGGGCTGCCCTTTCAGGCCTTGAAGCAAGGATAGAACTTGTAGCAGCCTAGGATGTTGAATATCACTTTTTTAGTGGCAAATGACTACCCAGTTGACATTGGGAAGAGTAAATTTTCCATTGCTTTTGTTCTCCATGTGCATCATACTGAATTTCTGTTTGAGAGTCAGTATCACTACTTCAAAGTTGAGAGTAAAGTTAATTAGGAGCTTGAAATAGTAAAGATTATGTGTGTATTTCTTTTTAAAAATGCTACAGATGCTTAGTTTGCAAGATGCAATAAAAAAAAACCCTATGCCTTAAATTGATGTCCATAACCATAAATTGTGCTTCATTTTAAAGAGAAAACAGTGTTTTAGAAGTCACCATAGAGCAGTTAAGCAAAAACCCAACCCTACAGTCCTAAAATAGTGTAGAGGTGACATCAGGAGTCACCATGGTAACCCATGGACTGCATATTCTGGTGTCTTCTTGGGTGGAGGAGTTGTAGAGTGGGGGAAGTGAAGATGGAACAGGAATTAACCATTACTCTGGTTGGAAGGTTGTTTTGTGGCAGAAAATGAGTTGTAGTGCACTGCTCAGAAGATACTTTAAATGAAGGATAATTTTGAACATCTGGCTTTGCTTTGTAGAGTGGCAAGAAGAAGGCTTGTTTCTTACAAATACAGAACATTAATTTCTATGGATTGTATGAAATTGAGTTTTAAGATGAAAAGGAAGCTTGGTATTGAGGCTTAGGATTTTTTTCTCTTAAGTAATACATTTTACCTTTTCTTAAAACAGCATTGCTCAATATATTGTTAAAAATTAATGCAAAAGTTAGATTTGCAATTTTTTTTTCTGGCATGTGGCATGAGAGACTTTATGTTTAAAAGCCTCTGTGTTACATTCTGAATYGCTTTGCAACAGGAACTTCTAATTAAGGCTTAAGCTTAGAGATCAAATGGTTTGATAGCAACATACTGCATTGCATGTTGGTACCACATTGCAGATCTTAGAAGCTACTTTAACCTAGTAGTCTAGTTGTACTTTTAGGTGTTGTGGGGTATCTGTCAGCATGGAGCTGTTAGGTATGACRCAGGATCTATGGAAGAATTCTGCCTTTTCTTCCTGCCTTTTGAAATTTAAACAGAGCAGTTTAAGACATTCTCTTTAAGTTTAGTCTTTTTTCARGACTTGAAGAGAACAACCAAGTGTTACTTATTTTGCTTGAACCAATACAGTTATTTTCAATTACATTCAGTAAAACATGTATTTGGCCTTTACCACGTTATATATTTCCTCTCAAAGAGAATATCTCATAGATGACATGTCCGTCTTGCCGGGTTTATTTGTTTTGCTTTGCTTTTCTGAAAGCAAAAGGAAATTGCTTCTCTGAAGAAGCCATAAATTGATGTAGGTATCTCATATGTAAGGTAATAGTTATTTAAACTGTTTATGGTAATAGCTAGTGAATCCAGAAAGTGGTATGTTTGTGGTGTGCCTGTCAAAAGTGAAAAGCTTTATTCCTATGAGAGTTTGTTTTAACACTGAAAGAGGAATTAGGACCGTGTGGGGAGGACATGAGAAAGGAGTGCTAGTTTTTAACATTTGTGGTACGTCTGTAGGACRTGCTTTCAGTAGACATTCAGGAACTGCCATGTGAGTTTCCTGACAAATGTAAGAAAGAAAAACGCAGGCAATACTGCTGAGCCCCGTGAGCATCACAGTGCTATATAATGGTCCTACATATGAAAGTCAAAAAGAGCGGAGATTTGGAGACCATGGCTTGGTGTCTTGATGCGTGCAAACTTTTTCTGAAAGATGTGACTAAAACTGCTGAAATGAATATTGCTGAAAGGATTAATTTAGAAGATGAGATGCTTAGCTTCAGCAGAAGGTTAAAGCTTAATATTTCTGCAATATTAATAATTTCAAGTAATCAGGAGAATTATAAATATTGTTATTAGGAAATCATTTTGCCACTGAGAGAGTTGATTTTTATCTGAAAATGTTTCCCTTAGACTCAGAAAGTATTTGTTCACTCTTGTTGTTCTTTTGGATTATGTCAGCAGAGGTCTGCTGGCTCTTCTCCTGAGCCAYGTGACCCTGCTGTGTATTTGCAAAACTCCCCCTTTTACCCTTTTGAAAGTGAAATATGTTGCATTTTTGTTTTCATCCAGTGTGATCAYCTGCAACGTAATCACTTAATCTTTTCTGTGTTGTTCAAACTCCAAATTTGTCATTATTGCAGTCAATAGGTCAGTGAAACTGGCAGGACAATGAAAAGTTGAGTTGCTGAGTTTCTTTATAACTTCCAGTGAGCTGACAGTTGGAGCATATGAGTCCCACAGGCTGTAATCACCRCTTATTTACTTCAGTTAATTATGCATTCATTGTGACTAAGACTCATTACTGCCTAGTTTCCTGAGATTGTGGTGTCTTCTGGAATAACCCATTTTTCAAAAAGCTGTTGTAGGATTTGACTTCTCTATTCTGGGATGCTTTGGATAAATTAGTTGGTATGACTAAAGCAGGTTATGTGACTGCAGCAGCCTCTGGTGTTATGGTCTGTAAACTACATTTGTCAGGTGAAACCCAGGTGCTTTTCATCACTGAACAGAAAATATGGGGTAGGGTTAGGGGATAAAGGTTTTGCTTTTGCTGTTGAAGTGCACAGCTGCAACATCAAGCAGTGGTGAAAAATTGTCAGCTTTCATGTTGTGATGGAATATTTGTCTGAGTGTCTGGAAATGGTTACCTGAGTGTTTACAAATGTTCTAAACCCTTGGTTACTAACTTCTAGGTTTGAACATCTGCAGTTGCTAGTACTGTAGGTAGGTTGAAACTTCAGAAGCATAGATTTGCTAGTACTTGATTCTTRCGTGGAAGCAAAACGATGCATAAGCATTTTCAAATTAAAAATGCTGTGCATGTATACTCTGGTTTCTGTATTTTAAAGAAGACCTGTGAGGGTTTTGTTCAAGTCCTTAACCATTTTTGGCAGTACT